GGGCGACGCACTCACAGCGCGAGCCCTTGCGCAAGTCGGCATATCTCGACTGAACTCGGCTGCCTCTCGGCTCCCTCTCGGCTGCCTCTCGGCTGCCTCTCGGGCTGCCTCTCGGCTGCCTCTCGGGCTGCCTCTCGGGCTGCCTCTCGGGCTGCCTCTCGGCTGCATCTCGGGCTGCATCTCGGCAGCGCGCCCTTGCGCGGGTCTGCGCCGCTCAGCTGCGCATGTGGCGCGAGCGCCTCGGTCAGGAGTGCGTCCAAGTTGACCGGCGCGTACCTGGCGGAGTGATCTCGCGTGATCTCGCGTGATCTCGCGTGATCTCGCGTGATCTCGGGTGATCTGGGGTGATCTCGGGTGATCTGGGGTGATCTGGGGTGATCTGGGGTGATCTCGGGTGATCTCGGGTGATCTGGGGTGATCTGGGGTGATCTCGGGTGTTGTCGGGTGATGTCGGCTGATGTCGGGCGTACCGCGCGGCGGCGGTCGAGTAGAGCGGAGCGAGGGCGGGCAGCACGAACTGCATGCGCGGGTAGGGCACCTGCAGCCGAGAGACAGCCGAGATGCGCGGAGATGTAGCCGAGATGCGCGGAGATGTAGCCGAGAGGCAGCCGAGAGACAGGCGAGATGCGGCCGAGATGCAGGCGAGATGCGCGGAGATGTAGCCGAGATGCGCGGAGATGTAGCCGAGATGCGCGGAGATGTAGCCGAGAGGCAGCCGAGAGACAGGCGAGATGCGGCCGAGATGCAGGCGAGATGCGCGGAGATGTAGCCGAGATGCGCGGAGATGTAGCCGAGATGCGCGGAGATGTAGCCGAGAGGCAGCCGAGAGACAGGCGAGATGCGGCCGAGATGCAGGCGAGATGCGCGGAGATGTAGCCGAGATGCGCGGAGATGTAGCCGAGATGCGCGGAGATGTAGCCGAGAGGCAGCCGAGAGACAGCCGAGATGCGCGGAGATGTAGCCGAGAGGCAGCCGAGAGACAGCCGAGATGCGCGGAGATGTAGCCGAGAGGCAGCCGAGAGACAGCCGAGATGCGCGGAGATGCAGACGAGATGCAGCCGAGATGTAGCCGAGATGCGGCCGAGATGTAACAGCCGAGATACGCCGGGATGTAGCCGAGATGTAGCCGAGACGGAGAGGGCAAGGCACCAGGTTGGAGCTGAGGTCGGCGAGGTCAGTGTTGAGCGCGCCAGGAAAGCGGACCTGAACAGGGAGCAGGATGTGATCTGACACCACAGGTCGCCATGACACGACATGGTGTAGTGTGACGTCTCTTCATGCGAGTGCTACTGTGGGGCAGCAAGCGGACCGAGGCGGTGAGCGAGGTCAGCATGTGCGCCACGAGGTTGTTCATGCCGTCAAAGGCGCGCGCGCGCGACGCAGGCCCGTTGCTCGCCAGCGACTCTCGCCGCGACCCTCCGCCGCCGCCTCCGCCGCCGCCGCCGCCGCCGCCGCCTCCTCTGCCGCCGCTGCCGCCGCCGCGCCCGTCGCCGCCGGAAGCCGCATGCGGCGTGGCGCCGCCTTCCGCATGGTCCACCATGGCTGCGAGGGCAGCGTTCTGCAGCGGCATCGCCACCGTGGCGTGCTCGGCCAGCTCGGCGGCGGCGAGCACAGTGTTGTACGGCGACGTGACGACGTCGTCGCTCTCCGAGGGGAAGACCGCGGTCGCGAAGCGGATGGTCCTCGGGTACTCGTCGGCGAGCGCCTCCAGCACGTACGAGCCCAGCCCCGAGCCTGTGCCTCCGCCCATGGAGTGGAGCAGGGAGAAGGCCTGCAGGCACCGGACCGGACTGACGCTGTGTCCAGCCATTCCGCCCCATCACGAGTGGGCGAGGGAGGCCTGGAGGGAGTCGCAGTGCGACGCGGCGCGGCGGACGCGCTCGAGCAGCCCGTCGCGGTGCAGCGGACCGTAATGCTCGTGCCCGTGCGCCCAGTTGTTGCCCGCTCCAGAGACGTCGGCGAGGACCTGCGAGCGGTCAAAGAGCTCTGCGAGTGGCGAGCGGAGGACCTGCGAGACGACGCCCTCCTCGGTATCGACCATGACGGCGCGCGCGCGCAGGCTCGAGATCGGCACAGTGCCGTCGCCGAGCGCAAGGGGTGCTCCGCTCCTCGCGTCGACGTGCCTGAAGAAGGTGGACATCGGCTCGTCGTACGCCGCGATGCCGCTCGACCACGCGGCGTGCTCGCGCAGCGCGAGGTCCCAGAAGCGGGAGCCGATCTGGTTGCCGCACTGCCCGACCTGCACCGTGATGACCTCCCGCACCATCGGGCGAGCGAGCAGCGTGGGCGCAAGAAAAACTGTCGGTTCAGCAGCAGCACAAAAAGAAAAAAGAAATGGCGCGGCCAGCCAATCCTCTCCCCTCCCGGCGCCTCCGCCGCACTCCGCACGCCACCTCCGCCGCCGCCGCCTGCTGGCAGCGCGCCGGGTGTGTTCAAGTCCCAAACAACGTCCTGAAGGCGGCTGCGGACGTGGGAACCGTGCGATTGTGGCTGAATGAATGCGGGAAGGCGGACACGCTCTTCGACGTTGAGTCTAAGTACGGCCAGACTCAACGCACCCTGCTGATGCTCGCCGCACAGGAGGGGCACGCGCAGATTGTCGAGCTCCTCCTGAAGCGTGGCGCGCACGTCAACCTGCAGAACAGTCACGGCCTCACAGCGCTCAACACTGCCGCCTGCTACGGAGGTCGAGGCGGAGAAGCGCGCCAAGGGCAAGAAGGGCAAGAAGAAGAAGAAGAAGGGCGGCGGGGCGGGCGGGGCGGGGCCGTCGCAGGAGCCCGAGGCGCCGTCGGAGGCAGCCGCAGCCGAGGCGGCGAAGAAGGCCGAGGAGGCGAGGCTCCTCCTGCTTCTCGAGACGCTCACCGAGGAGAGGATGCGGCTCGGCATCACGCCGGAGAGCCAGGCGGCGGCGTCGGCAGAGGTGGCCGACGCTGCGCGCTTGGACGCTGCGGCGGACGAGGCGGAGGAGGAGGCGGAGGCGGAGCAGGAGGCCGCGGCGGTGGCGGAGGCGGCGCTGGCTGAGGCCGAGGCTGCACAGGCGGAGTCTAGGGCGGCGCAGGCGGAGGCCCGGGCGGCGAGGGACGAGGTCGTGGCGGCGCTGAAGGAGGCCAAGGCGGCGCTGGAGGAGGCCACGGCGGCGATGGAGGAGGCCAAGGTGAAGCTGAGTGGGGCCGACTCGGCCGTTGAGGGGGACGAGACGGCGCTGGTGGCGGCGTTGTCCGCCGCCAAGGAGAGGCGCGCGGTTACTGCCGTTGCGATGGCCAAGGCGGCCGCTGCCAGGATGGCGGCGGATGCGGCCCGGCGCTCGTAGTGGAGCTGCTGAGGGGAGAAACGCGTGGCCGCTCTCGGTATACGGGTGTACGGGGAAGCTCGAGGATTCTCTGGGGGCTGTGGTCGCACACACGTCACACGCATGCTAGTTGGTATTGCCCGCACGCTAGTTGCGCGCCGAGCTCTGCGCGTTCTTGTGTGTGAGAGGCGACAGGGGGGGGGGGGGGGGCAGAGTCTGGTCTCGGTTCTCTTTTAGAAGAGCTCGGATCCAAGCAGGAGCCAAGCGAGTACTAGGCGAGAGAGGAAGGGGGGAAGGTGGCGGCAGAGAGTGAGAGAGCGCGCAGAGGTGAGGCCTGAGGCCACACGGCACACGCCACAGGCGCATCTCAGGCTCGAGCAAGGGGCACTATGTCAAAACCCCACTGAGAAATTATAAATTTCTCTAGAGCCGGTGACGCCACTTGATGAAATGCTCCACTAGGCCCCCGGAACACGCCTGCGCGGCGGCGAGCAGTGAAGAGGCGCGGAAAGCTGATTTTTTTACTTTTGGACGCATTTCGGGCTCCGTACTGGTTGACGCAGAGCCGCACGCGCCGACCGGCGCCGTTCGCGACCACGAGGGCGGATGCTGGCCATCCCGGGCTCTGTGCACATCGGCAGCGCGCGTTCTACGCGCTCCGCTATCCAGGTCTTGGCGCCCCACCTCGAGAGCGCCGTTTTTATCTCGTGCAATCTCGAGCCGTGGAGATTAGGCCGAGATCGCTTTGAGCTGCGGGAGATGTTTGGGAGATACAGCTACAGTCACACGGACCCGCGGGGCGTGCGCAGCTCGCGACGGAGATGTTTGTAGAGCCTGGGCTCGCTGCGAAGCGATGAGCGGCGCCCGAACGGCACCGGGCCGCGTGGTGTCGCTGTTTGTTGGCCCCCCGGGGCGAAACCGGGCAGGGCGGGGCAGGGAGAGAGGGGAGGGGAGGGGCTGTGCAGCGATTGCCGAGGGCAGCGGCGGGGGGCCTCGTCCGCCAGCCCCTCGCCGCTTGGGGCTCTATGTCCCCCTCCTCGCCCCACCCCTTCCTACCCCCTCGGCCGGATGCTCGGCCTGCCTCTCCGCCTCTCGCCTCCACCGCCGCACCGTCGCGCCCCCCTTCCGCGCGCAGGGATGAAGGGCTCTGACGGCGCCCCCACAGGGCCGGAGGTCGCCGCTTCCGCCCCGCCCGCCCGCCCCCCACTCCTCACCTCCCTCATCACCGCCTCCCCCGTCGCCGCCACCGCCCTCGCCTCTGCCCTCGCCTCTGCCCTCGCCTCCTCCACCGCGGCCTCCGCAAAGAGCAGCGCAAAGAGTGTGGACAGCGTCTCCTCACGCCTCGAGCTGCCAACAGGCCGCCTTCACCGAGCAGTCCTTCAACAACATGTTTGCGTCAGCCAGGGAGCAGCTCGCGCGCTCGCTGCTCAAGTAGAGACCGCTGCGGCCCCGCCGGCCGAAATATGGGCCGGGCGGCGCGCGGACACACACTTGCCTTTTATTTTGTTGTCTCTTCTGCCCTCTCGCGCGGGGGTGGGGGCGCAGTCGGCTCACGTGACGCAGCGCTTGCGGCTTGCGGGAGGTAGCCAAAAGTCTACTTCACTCCGCATCATGCGACATGCCACCGGAACTGGTGGACGACGATTCTCCCGCCGTCGTTTGCGTCCGCCGTGTCACGTGTCTCTCGCGTCTCATTAAAGCCGTACATGCATATGGTTTGCAAAAAAAATCAAGCAACATAATCGGCGGCGAGGGACCCTCCGCCCTCCGCGCAGCGCGCTCCGCCCGCGCCAAGGCCCAAGCTCCCGCGGGTGCGGGTTTTAGGGCTGGCGTCGGAGATTGTACAAATACAATTACACTTACGAAGTTCGTACAGATTTTATTCAAAAGCTGCTTTTACCTTACGTACGAGAGAGAGAGAGAACGCACGATAGAACTCTAGTTCAACAACAACATCATGCTTGCTGACATGATTGTGCGTTCAGTGACAGTCAGCGTGACAGAGCAGCGGAGGACAAAGTGCACATGCACATGCATACACGTACACGTGGTCGGAGAAGCGCCACTAATGGAAGCCATGTGTGTCACACACCGTCTCCAGATCCACGAAAGCTCCGGGTTCGAGAGGGCGGTCTTCTCTACATGAGTCATGACGCCCGGTTCGATGAGTCAGAGGTCGGGCCGCGGCGGGGCGGCGGCAGCCGGCACGAACTCATACCGCCGTCACCGTGGGGGGGGGTGCTGCGGAGGGACCTGCCCCGCCCTGCGGCCCGGCGGACGCCTCGGCAGTGTCGTTGCCGTCGTCCGTCAGCTCGCCGCGCGCGACGGGGCGGTTTCCGCCCAGAGGAAGGCGAGCCAGGATGCGGCGGAAGAGTTTGAGATCCTGCTTGGTCTTGCCCGGAGTCGCGCCCAGCGCTTTGGCCAAAAGAATGAGCGACACCTACGCGTGAAAAGCACCATGCGCGGAGAGATCACGGCGCGAGGGGGAGGCGTGCGGCGCACGCGTGCACCTCGTGGTGGCGTCCGGGGTAGCACGCGCGCGCCAAGTCGCCATTGTAGAGGCCTCCGGCGATGAGCTCCTGCGGCGTGGTTTCGAAAAACTTGGAGAATTCGCAGCCGCCGCGGTCCGGGTCGTTCTCGTGCGCCATGACGATCTTCAGCTTGTCCGCGCGCCCCTTCTTGACCTGCTCGGCCAGCCTCTCGTCCGACCAGGTCTCCTCGTTCAGGTAGAGGAGCATGTGGGTCGCGTCGTCGGCCTCCTCGGCGGTGGAGACGGTGATGTTGGCGAAGGAGTCGGCGAGCTCGTTGGCTAGCTCCTCCGCGCCCGGGTTGGCAAGCGAGACCCGGACCACCACCGACGTCGAGAAGGCGAAGCGCTGGAGCCGCAGTTCGCCCGGCACACATGTGGCAATGCTCTTCCCCCGGTATAAGGGCATGTGAAACAGTAACGCCTGTGTGAGCAGGGAAGGTGGGGGTGAGCGACATGATCGCGGCGACTGTAGAACAGGAGAGGTGGCAGCCTCAGCGATGATCTGGAGAGAGACGATCTGGAAGTCTTCGATGCGCAGCCACGGCGTCAGCGCGCGTCCCTGGTCGAAGATCTGCGGCTGGAGGTCCCCCGGGCACTCCGCACGCAGCACCTATTAGTGAGAGCCCACTCTCTCATTCTTGTCTGTGAGCGATGAATCGGCGCGTGTCTCTGAGATGATGCCTCGAGCGGACCGCCACCCTTGGCGACGTCCGCCTCTTGGACGAGAACGATCGGCTTGCTCATTTCGAGGGTGAAGCGGATCTCGCGAAGGCAATTCTGATGGGCGAGAGTGTCAGGTTAGCGCGGTGTTTGCTCAACACAGATATTCATGCATGTTGGCGAGGCGCGCCTTGGAGCGGAAGTAGCCCTTCGAGAGGAAGAAGAGGATGGCCTGCGAGCGTTGAATGTACTCCTCCAGAGCCCCAATGTCCTCAAGATCATCGACCTATTGCGCGTCAGAGAGGTTGTGTCTATAGCTCCTATCGCGTATCGCGTTCGTGCTCGTTAGAGGTGCGGCATAGCTACTCCGTCTGTGTACGCACATCAAGGAAAACTTGGATGCCGGGCAGCAGGAGCATCAACTGCTTCTTGATGACTGCGACGGCGTCTTGGCCGGTTCCCCAAATGTGGCTGTTGAAGAGGTGCCACGTGAGGCCGAGCGCCAACGTGAGCTCGGGCGGCTGGTTGGTCGAGACGAGACGAAACGTTGGGACTTGGGAGACCTTGCGGGCGGCGACGACGGCTCCGATCAGAAAGAGGACAAGGACGCTGAAGATGAGCGATAGCATGACCGTGACGATGCCATTCAGCTCGCCAAAGCCCAGCACGATGAACGGATCTGCACCATAGTAGTTGTCGTCAATGCCGTCGTAGATGAAGATCCAGTTTCCGGCGAGGAAGATGAGCAACGTGAGCAGGCTCGTCGCCTGTGCGAGAGGGAAGAGCAAAAGGGTGGGGGGAGGGGCAGGTCGACACGAGGCGTGTCTGACGCACCACCGCAAGCACATCGTCTTCGACCCTCTTAAAGGGGCGTGCGACGGCGATCCCGCAGGTGTGCAGGGTAGAAACCAGCGTCGCCAACACGAGGCGCAAGAAGGCGCGCTGTTCTGGGATCATCGCCGTCACCGCGCCCGTCAGCACCAGCCTGCGTGCGAGCTCCAGAGCCTCCCACCAGCACCACTGCGTCTCGTAGTCCTGGTGGAGGAAGGCGGTAGACCGCGTCAGTGCCGTGCAAAGGTTCGCGCGCAATGGCTTGTAGCAAGCGACGAGCAGCGACGAGTAGAGCACCATGGAGCCGACTGGCCAGATGGCGATTGAGGCGATGGCCCAGCGGCGAATCGAATCGTGCTCCTCGGTGTCACACTCGATGCTGTTGTCTTCCACCAGGAATTCGACCTGTCGGAGCGGTTCGTCAGGCGACGAGACAGTGTAAAGCTTGCATCGCCAGAAGCGGAAGATGTACGCATTGATGGGCGGGACAAAGCAGTAGACGAGTATCAGGCAAACCGGCAAGACTTCGAGCAGACCTGACGCAACGGCCCGATAAGGCTTGGGACGAGGTGCTGGATGGGCAAACCACGTTTTGAAGCCCATTCCGACGCCCACGAGCAGGAGCACACCGACGAGTCCAAGTGGCGTGAAGACGTAAGGCAGAAGCAGTTGCGTGTAGGTCACGCAAGGCATGGGCAGCCAATTTGAGGGCGAGATCACGTCGGTGATCGCGTCGAGCCACTTTGTGTATTCCTCTGGGAGCGTGACTCCGAAGATGGTCGGTATGACAACGACGACCTGGTAAAAGCTGAGAAGAAGCTTGAACTTTGCTTGCATGCCGAGCAGCGAGTGCAAGGCGACCAGGCGGTCGGCGAGGCGGAGCGGGCGGCCAACGTAGCGCCGCTCGCGCCAGCTGCGCTTCTTGTAGAGGTAGGCCGCGAGGCCGAATGCGACGCAGACGCCCAGCCCCAGAAGAAGAGGGCCCAAGAATTCCAGTTCTCGTGGCGGGCATGCCTCGCACGTGACGCCGTCGACGAGGTAGTGATTCTCGGCGGCGCAGAGCGAGCACTCGGGGCCCGTGAAGTCCGAAGCGCAGTACGCGTCGCCGCCGGCGGTATGCTCCATCCTCCGCCGGCGGCCCCGAGAGGGGCCCGTCTGCTCGCTGCCAACGCAGCGGGTCATGCCGGCATCAGCGTCGCCTCCGAAGGCGCCGCACTCTGTCAGCACCGCGGAGGAGGGGCTGGCGCGCCATAAGCCGCGCCGGATGACGAGGGAGGAAAGGGTAGTGTTGTCTGGGCATGTAGCGTCCGCCGGGCAAGGCTTGCAGTAGTCGGTCGGGGACTTGAAGATGTCGTTTGGGCCGGCGTTCGCGTCCTTCAGGTAGAAGCCCTCCATGCAAAACGAGCAGATGGTGCTGCCGTTGGCCGAGCTGAGGGGGTCAGGACACGGGACGCAGAGGCCCTGGCCAGCGTTGGCGGCGTAATTGCCAGCCTCGCACTCGTCGCACGCGTCGCTGCCTGCCTTCGACGAAGTGCCGGGACGGCAAGACTCGCACTTGGACTGCCCCTCTTTTGCGCTGAAGGTGCCCGGCGAGCACGGCGTCTGCTCAATGGAGCCCGTCACCGCGAAGGAGCCAGGGTCAGCCAGCGTGCAGTCGCCCGGCTCGTCGTTGTCGGTCGCGCTCGAGTAGCTGCCGCCCTCGCACGGCAGAGGCGCCGCCGCGCCCGGCTCGCAGTAGCGGCCTTGCTCGCACGGCTTGCACGCCGTCTTGCCGCTCTCGTGCTGGTACGTGCCGCCCGCGCAGAGCGTGCAGCTGCCCTTGACCGGCATCGACGCGTTCGTGTACGAGCCCTTGGCGCAAGGCGTCTGCTGCGTGGAGCCCGTCACCGCGAAGTAGCCCGGGTCGGCGGCGGTGCACTCGCTCGCGTCGGTGAGGTTGGTGGCGCTTGAGTAGCTGCCCGCAACGCACGGCAGCGCCGCCGCCGCGCCAACAGCGCAGTAGCTGCCTTTCTCGCACGCCTTGCACTCCGTCTGGCCGCCCTCGTCCTGGTACGTGCCGCCGGCGCAGAGCGTGCACGCGCCCTGCTTGTACGCGTCCGTGTACGACCCCTTGGCGCACGCCGTCTGCTGCGTCGAGCCCGTGGTGGCGAAGTGGCCCGGCGAGGCGTCGGTGCACTCGCTCGCGGCGGTGAGGTTGGTGGCGGTCGAGTAGCTGCCCGCAACGCACGGCAGCGGCGCCGCCGCGCCCTTGGCGCAGTAGCTGCCCGCCTCGCAAGCGCGACAAGATGTCGCGCTCTGCGCTGGCTGGTATGTGCCAGCGGAGCACGCCTCGCACTTTGGGAGGCTGGCCTCGCCAGCGAAGAAGCCTGGCAAACACGGCCTTGGCGCGGCGCTCCCGCTCAAGCAAGAGAACC